TATTTTAATTTGTTTTAATTTGTGTTTTGTTTTAACTTTTGATATATGGTAGAGTTGGTGCTGAGAGTCGTGATGCAGTGATTGATGTTTTTATCAAAGTTGTTCCAAAAAACAAACTGGCTGTTGAACTACTTGTGAAAATTGGAGGTAAAGTGTTGAATAAGGTGACACAAGTGATAATGATTTGACATGTACATGCTTGTTTAACTCATTTTTTCATTGGCTTTGATCATGTATGCATTACTGTAGAACATTGCTTACTCACACTTTGTCAAATTAAACTTCACACTAACTTGACCTTAGAACCATGTTCCCTTGAATACTTTGTGCGGTCATCAACATTTACCGTCATTAGAGGCATTCCAGTCAATTACCACCTTTTCACAAGTGCTGGGAAATTTTTGTTCAAATGATTTTCCCCCGCCCATCTCTGGACAATATTATGAGGAACGATTTTTTATGACATAACTCATAGAACTGTCCTTTCTTTCTGTAGGTATTCGTAAGCTGATGGTTATCGCTGCCAGTACTGCTCCTTTGGAGTCTCAAGGGAAGGAAGCCCTTGCAGTGTCTAACAATACTCGAATGCACATTTCTGTTGCTCTGGCAAAGATGGTGGATTCTTTTGGGTAAGTTTAGAACTTTTTTTTCTCTGTTATTCTGTCTAGCAACATACAGTAATGTATCTTTTAGACATCTGTTATTCTCGTACAGATTTGTACGGACTTAGTTGGGGGTTTTAAAAATACACCTGTCTGGTAGTAAAATCTAAATCGGCTAAAAACTCTTCAGGAAGGAGAAAAGCAAGGCATACATTATACCCATTCCTATGATACAAATAGGGGTGTTTCTACTTACCACTATGAACTTCTCCTCAGAACTGTATTTTGATGATAACACAACTTTCTTTGCCTCTACTTCCTTCATGAGAATCTTCAATTATTGAACCATTCTTTCAGCTATCATGAAAAGGAAAAAGAACCTCTTATGGAAGATGCAACGGCAGCTATCAGGTACAGTTACTAATTGCCCGCACAAACGGCAGTAAAACCAATCTCAACTTAGTCACTCGCGCTTTCCCGCGCTTCAAGCAGGCTGCCTGCTTTTACTTTGAGTTCTCATTGGTTAATGATGACGTCAACCTTTGTTTTTATTGGTTTTTGAAATAATTCAAATAGGGATTTGGTTTTTCGACGGTCAGCTGGAAACTGTTTCATTGTTCTTCGCAGCCATCGCTCGGTCTCTTCACGCAGCCATCGCTCAGTCTCCTCACGCAGCGCTTTTTATTTTTCTCCCTAAGAGATAGAACGCGTTGCGTTAGAGGGAGGTGGTGAGATTAGAGTGAACGGTGCCTGTGACGATAAAACTTTCCCTTCTTTTTTTTTTTTTTAATGCACTTCTGCTGTTCACACGAGATGTTCAGTGCATTTTAACTGAGTGTGACTTTATTTTACAGCCAGTATCTCAATCAAAGCAGCCCGGAAGCGCACATCAAAGGAGCAACAGCGTTAAGTTGTCTTTTTCAGGTCTGATACTCGTGCAGATACTTTGTTAGCTTCATATAATAAAACTTAAACTAGGACACTAGTAAGGTTGAGAAGCACTGGTCTACAGCAGTGAGACAAATAGCATCAACAGAATTTTATCTAATAGAGGCAACACGCGTCATTGTAAACAATATTTCCTTCAGACTTCGTGCGTTAGTTGGACGAAAGTCTGGAATCTTACTGGCTATCTACGCATGTTTTCGCGGAGCGTGTGTCGGTTTCATCAGCAGAAAGCGACATGGAGTATTGCTACCCAGTGGACGAAATACTAGTCCACCGTAGGTCCTCTCCCCTTCAATCACTAATTCGTCGCGTTTCCATGAACTTTTACTGATACCAGTACCATACTCCTGGTTTTGGAGAGGTACTAGTGACGAGACTTGCAATCGTAAGTAAGAATGTGTTACATTGATTTAACGCCAAGTTTTCCTAATTTTTTTCGCAATGAATTAAAATTGATTTCCTCAGAGCAAAGAGGTTAGTAGAGCTGGTCAACGAACCATAAACTAGTTCTAGAGGAAATTAATTCCTTTGTATGATCATCCCATCTTTTTAGGGAGTACAGGAAGCGGCAGCCACTGTTCTTGGCAATGAAGAATTTTTGGGTAAAATGGTCGCACTTGCGGAAAGGGAAGACCGCGTGTCTCAGGTTTGAACTTTTTCCTTTCTTTTTTTTTTTTTAGGTGAACATTGTGTTATGATTTAAAATAATGTTATTGGGTAATGATAATGAGTGTTACATGCCTCAATTTAGAGGAAAAATAGGGACGAAGGAAAAGAAAAAGATGAAGAAAGCCTCTTTCGTAACATATTTTTTTTTTATCGTAAAGTTTGGTTTATATTTTGCTTTGTATGATAGAACGTCTTTGACGCAAACTTAATATTTAAAACTCGAATTTTAAGACTTTTTTCTCAGTCTCATCATCTCGCTCGAACTTCCTGCCATCTGAAACAGTGAACCATTTCCCTTGACAATTCGAGCTATCGAGTTCTACTGCTATATTTCCGGCATCAAGATTTCATTTACTTATGCGTTTATTTTTTTGTTTATTTATTTGTTCGTTTATTTGACAGATTGTTGCATCTGAAACATTAGCGTTAGGAGCATCTGAAAAGAAATTAAGCACAGTACTGAACACAAAGGTAAATGGTTATGAAGTTCTTTAGTGCATAGCCTCGTAGGAAAGCTTAGCTTGCCTACGGAGCAGGCGTCAGATAAAAATTAGAGCGTGTATGGGCAGTAGGAAACGCGCAAAAAGATTGACTAGTTCGGAAGTGATTAGCAAGCGTTATTCACCTGCGAGAAGCCAACTTGGAGTTGATATTCAACCAAGTGGTTTCAGGTTTAAACAGACTTGTGATTTTTCTTAACAGGCGTTACCTGTTTTGAAGGACTTGTATCATTTAAAGGATGACAGTATAAGAGTCAGAGCCTTGGTGGTAAGTTTATTTATTTCACTGTGTAGTCTTGAAGGCGACTGTTGTTTGAGTGCGAGGTCTTGTTTCTCTTTAGGGTCTTTGTAAACTTGGTACCACGGGAGGAGGGACTGTGAATGATCAGACATTCGTAGAGGGAGCCACATTAAAGTTGTACAAATCAGTGCGTAGGTGAGTGTGGTAAATGAGTATCGTATATATCAGTACCCTATGGCTTGTCACAGGTCAGGAAGGTAGATGAGGCAAAGTCTGTGCTCGGGTCGAGTGGCCCTACCAGTTGGGGCTTATACCGGTTTTCTTAGAATGAAGAGACTGGGGGTAACCCTTCCCCTCCCCTCCCCTCGCATTTCATCAGGCTTCCCTGACAATTACCTGGTGTTCATTTTACTCCTGGGTAGAGAAAGGCGCATTGAGAGTCCAGCGCACGCGCACTAACCTCAGTCCACCGCGTCTCCACAGGAAAGGAAATAATTAGCAAAAATATAACACAAAAGGGAAAAAAAAAGGATAAAGACTCTTAAAAGGCAGTAAAAAGTCAGTTCGGATCTGTGAGTAGGTCGTTCAGCCCGAACGCACCTAGATGAATGGATCGTTAAGCGACAATGAGTATGGCGACGTCTTCTGGTTTGTTTCCTTTTTTAGTTTCCTGACAAAATCTAAGAAAGATTTAGAGCTGCGTAAATGGGCAGCTGAGGGATTGTCCTTCCTTACTATGGACGCTGATGTTAAGGTAAGGTAATGTTGAGTCTTCGTCCAAAATCGGACACTTGTGTCTAAAATCGGACACTTGTGTTCAAAATCAGACACTAATGCCTAAAACCGGACATGTTTAAAATCGGACACTAACTGAAAATCGAACACCAGTTTCTAAGATCGACTCTAATATCTAAAATCTGATACTAATGTTTGAATTCGGAACTTGGTGTCTAAAATCGGAAAATAGTGTCCAAAATCAGACAGTGGTGTCTCAGATCGACTCTTATGTCTAAAATTGGACACTTATATCCAAAATCGGACACAAGTCTCCAAGATCAGACCATCACTATCCATCAAACCTCGATATTCTTAAATATCGTGTACAAATATTCTTTGAACCCCTGAAAACCGTATAATTTTTTCTTTCTTTTCAATTGCAGGAGACTTTCCTTGAAGATCAGCAGGCCCTCAGGTCACTCATGGAACTAGCAAAGGTAAAAGATAAAACTGAAATACTTTACATGTCTAAACACTGAAAATGCGCGTTTTGATGCACGGAAGAGGCCTGTAAGAAAACTTAAGGAAATATTCTTCCGGTATCGGAAATTTTGTTGAGGCAGACGCTTTTGTGTACGTGAGAGACAGAGTGATGACATAAACAGTGATGTGTTACGCATATATTTTATCTCAGGCTAAAGATGGCTCACTGTTATACGGAGTTTGTCAAACGCTCGTCAACCTTACAAACACGTTTGACAAACCAGAAATTCCGGATGAAATGAAACAGCTTGGTGAATTTGCCAAAGTCAAGTTGCCGAAATTCTCCGAAAAGGTGAGCATAAAATCCTGTTGGAGAGTTTCGAAGGCAGCGTGAGGAAATTAGAATCCCGCTAACTCGAGTTTCAGGAAAATGAATGACAGATTCGAGCTCTAACTGACATTTAATAACAACAAAGTTCTCTTTAAGAGAAACTGGTTAATACACGAGCTGGTTAGAGGTTCGATTCAATCGAGTTTTAGGTAAATATTTTCTACATTTTGTACTCTATGGTTTACCCTATAGTGTTATTTTCTGTGCCCGTTAATAATCTGATTCCTTGAAGTCTGTGAGCTCGACGACAGCAAGAAGACGTTGCTGTTGCCTCCAGTAGTGCTATGAACTTTTTATCTGAACGAGCATTCGAGATTACTTTGGCTTAACTCGCCAAATTGAACGGCGAATTCCGAAGTGAACGTGTGGGCCTTGAGAACTCAGATTTGTTTCCTTTGGCCCCAGTTCGTGAAAAATGAATGGTTAGCTCTATTGAGCGTGTAACTTCTTCAAAAAAGCTTGACAGTCTGATTGCTCTGTTGCACTCTTTTTTAATTGCAAAAAATTACGCCAACCTTTAAAGTGACTTTTTATCTCAATTCATCAAGCGATCAGTTGATTGACTTTTTTGTAGGATGGCGAGGAATACGTCAAAAAGAGAATCAAGAAACTTGTCGAGGTGAGATGATAATTTTCCTAATACGTATTATTATTCGAAAACCAAATTCAATAATTGTTCATTTCTAGTTTAACGCAGGTGTAGTTATATACAATTTTATGAAGAAAATGTTATTTCATACATACTGAGATTTATACTGTCAAGTATCGTCGTTCGTCTTCGATTGGACGAACGATGTATTTTCACAGTCGTCCGCTCCAATCTTTGAATTGAAAAAATGTAAGTTTATATCATATAAAAACATCATACCATGGAAAGTGCTTGAACGACTTTTATTCATGCGATGCATTAAAGAAACTCACTCGTTCGTTTTTTTTAATGCATCGCAACTCATGAATAAAAATCATTCGTGTGCACTTTCCATGGAATAATCTCTATTTCCATAATAATGAGATTCATCAGTAATTGCACTTTCCTTGTCAACAGGAAGGTATACTATCAGCGCTTGTTAACCTGTCTGATACAGAGAGTAATACCAGTAGAGAAATGATATCAAGGTGCGTTTCTTCCCTTTCTAGATTAAGGTTTTTATCGTCACTCATGGAAGTTAAATGATTAAATAATTACCCGATGTGGGCTGTGACCAGGATCTTAACGATAGTGTAAGCAGAATCAGTTGCTATAACTTTTTATTGTTTTTCCTCAGAGTTTTTATGGGGATAACAAATGAGCAAGAACACAGAGGTGTTACTGTGCAGCAAGGTGGAGTTAAGGTAAGATAAGGGAGGGGAGGGTGCTTTCAAATAAGGTGTTCTCTTATTTCAGCCTTAAACTTAAGCATGGGTGTTCTATCTTTTGTTGTTCGGATCCAGAAAATTTTTGTCTTTCTCAGTGAATTGCTGACTCAAAGTTTAATCTGCTCATGACAAACAATTTTCAAAGACACCAAATACGGATAAAAATATCGTTACCTTGTCGAGAAATGAAGATTTTCGTCTTGCATGAAGCAAGTTTTATTATCCTCTCATTCAGAATGCTTATATAAGCCATATAATGCTAACTGTTTCGTCTTTTTTTTCTAGGCGTTGATCTCCCTTGCTGCCCAAAACACAGAGAAAGGAGCAGACTTTTCTGCGCAATCTGTGGCTAAAATTGCTATCACTATGAACCCGGAAGTCGCATTTCCTGGACAAAGAGTAATGGATATGCGTGTTAATTCGTAGTCTACGTTTGGAAATAGTTGTGACGTGGTGCTTCGTCTAGGCTAAGGGATCGTTGCTCTGAAAGTTTTGTCGCAAATTCAAGTTTTTAACAGTGTGACCCTTTGAAGAAGAGTCCCCAACCACGCTTGTGTTCGTATTTGCAGGGCTAATTGTCTTTCAAGCTTCGACAAAAACGTTTAAAAAAACAATATAATTTTCTCTAGAAGGCGAACTCGTCGAGAATCGCGTTAAAAGATCCTTTCGCAAGTAGAAGAATTAGCAGTCTTGCCTTCCTAACTACACGTTCACTCTCGTGAAAGTTATCCTACCCTTATTTTAATTAAGAAAGCTTTATGTCAATAAATTTATTTCTAACTCGGGGCTGATACAATTATCTACTGATTTGTTTCGTTTCTTGACAGTCTTTTGGCTTGGTTCGTCCTCTGCTGAAGTTACTGCATCCTTCTAAAACGGTGAGACATTTTCTTCCTCGCTTGAAATGTGGTATTTTCTTGGAAATTTTTAAAGATTTCTGACTACTGTACTTTTATTAACCTTGCAGGCCTTGCAACAATTTGAATCACTTATGGCTCTGACAAACCTGGCGCAAATGAACGACGAAGTCAGGTAAGACAAGAAAGGAATAAAACCACGAGAGTTAAACGCCTTCTTTTCCGCTCTCTCACATTATTTCGTGAGAATTAGTAAAAGTGGCAAAGAAAGATCCATCCTAACCACCGGGTACGAGAACCTATGAATGCACCTTTTCTGGAAGATAGTGCGCCCCAGAAACCAGCAAGAACTTCCATCAAGAAAAACAAATTGTCAAGATTCATCTTTCTCGAAACAACTGCAACACCTAGACAGTTCGTAAGACCACTTTAGCTCAGAGGGAAAGATTCCAGACTTCTGATTTTATCCGGCTCTTTATCGTAACGCTATCATTATGTACCGTATCTTTTTCCTAGCCCTTTAACACTTACAAAAGGAGCTACTGCTGTAGTGTTTTTTCATTAGATTTTTCTGTTTGTAACCGTAGGCGGCATATTGTGAAGGAGCAAGGCTTTTCATTGATCGAAAGTCTGATGTTTGATGAACATGATCTGGTTAAAAGAGCCGCAACTGAGTGTATGTGTAACATGGTGCTTTGTGAAGAGGTAGGAGGCGAAATTTAGTTTTCGTTTTAAATATCATAGATTTTCAAACAAAGAAATGTATACTGTACGCGATATTCATCAAATCTGGGTGACGATTAATCCTTTAACCCCTAAGATTCATTAGCTTCTAATTTCTCCTCACAATATCACCCTTGAATCACGCATTAAAGTCATGAGAATAAAGAAAATAATCGCAATTTAGGAAGCTTTTGATTGTTAAACGAATTCTCCTTGGCAGCATTGGAGGATGAATAAAGAGAACAGTGTGGAGAATATGAATACCAAGGGTGTGAAGGGTTACGAAAGTATTTCATGAGCCCCTCACCCCCCCCCCAAAAAAAAAAAAAAAAAAATCTATGGAGTCCCTTTAGCTATAAGCTCCCAGTTATAAGCTCCCCGACCAGAACTTTACTGCGTCAACGGTATATTGGTTTTGCTGTTCCCTCCTTTTTTTTTTTGCTTTGCTACAGGTATTCAAAATGTACGAAAAAGAAGACGCCCCTACAGAAAGAGTGAAGCTTTTGACTCTGTTGTCAGGCGAAGAAGACTTTGAACTTTCACGGTGAGATATTCATATTTGCCCGTTGTATTTAAGTGGTGTGCGTTTCTGAAAATTACCCTGATATTTGCTCGCTGTGATGTTAGACGGTAAGCGAAGGGCAACTGCTGCAGGAGTGGTTCAATTGGAAGAGCGTAAGTGGAGCCGCAGACCAGACTAACTTTCAGAATCTTAAGATAACCGAGGACATTATGCTGCCATTAAACTAAGTCTGAGTCTCTACCAAACTTCCCCGTGGATTTTAACGAACTCATTAACTTATTGCAAAAGGGAAGGCATGGAGTTCCTTGTGTGGTAGATTTGGCTTTTTTTTTGGATTATTGTATCGGTATGATTGACCTTTGTTACTTTCCACTTCAAACAGATTCGTCGAAAAAAAATTCCACGATATGTAACGCAGCTATGTTCTTTTTCGTTTTCTACTTAACTTTGCTGAAAGTTCTCTGAGAGCATAGCCTTTTTTTTGCTTACCTCATGGCGGTGTAGGGGAAATACTGAAAATTAAAGTAAAGAAAGCAAATAATAAACGCAGACTAATGACGGATGGTAATTTTCGTAGGGCATCAAGGTGCGAGCAAACAAGGGCTATAATTTTAGCCAATTTTATAAGCCATCTTTGTTTCTAAATTTTATGTAGGGCGGCTTCTGGTGCCTTAGCAGTCCTCTCCTCGAGCGAGAAAGTATGCAAACAGATTATAAAGGTATGGCAGCTAGTGTATCTTGTGTTGACACGTTTTCTCTCTTGTTGTAACCTTATACCTTAATTTGGTCTCAATAATTTTACGTTACTTTGCAGGTCTCATCTTACATGGATATCCAGAAGCAGCTGTTGGTTTCCGAGAAGAAAGAGCTCAGGCACAGGTAATGTTGGACTTTTCTCTTCAAGCGCTGACTCTCCGAGAATGATAATTTCTTTTCGGACTTTACACGAAGTTAACGCAAATGGTGTCACCATTCTCTTTTATAGAGGAGCTCATATTGCAGCCAACATGATATCTGCGAACAAGGACATAGCTACTAAGGTAGGATTTGCTTGATCGATTGCCTGAATTTTTTAGGCTGATTCAATCACCATTCGCTGGGCCGACTTACAGCTAGCTGAATGATAGTCGAATAAAAGTTATCTCTCGTATGAGAAATGGACAGCAAAACCGACTTAAAGATTAACTGAGTCAAGGCACATTTAACCGCAATTAAAGTGACTGATGCACTTGCTTACGGGCGAACTTGCAGACAGACGAATGATGGGAGAAAGGACGAACCGACTGATAAACAGACACACTGACTCAAACTGACTTACTGATTGACTGACTTACCGGCAGATTGACTAGCTGACAGACTGACAGATTGACTAGTTGACAGACTGACTGACTGACTGACTGACTGAATGACAGATTGACCAGTTGACAGACTGACTGACTGACTGACTGACAGATTGACTGGCTGACGGACAGACTGATTAGCTGATTGGCTTGCTGACTAACTGACCTGCTGACTGGCTGAGAGACTGACTGACTGACTGACTGACTGATCGATTGACAGATCGATAGGCTCACTGACTGACTGACTCTGATCGACTAAGTTGCTGACTGACATGCTTACTGGCTTACCGACAGACCAATTTACCCGCCCACTGGCTGAGAGACTGACTGACTCACTGACCGATGGACTGACTCTGATCGACAGGCTGACCGACTGACTGACACACTAATTGTCCGACAGGCTAATTTACCGGCTGACTCGTTGATAGAGTGACTGACTTTTTGACTGATGGACAGATTGACGGATTGGCAGATTGACAAAGTTACAGGATGACAGATCAGCTGACTGACCGACTGACTCAGTTTATTACACCCTAAGTGTCATTTAATGTATCCGTGTGCATTTTTTAAAATATCTTTCTTTTCTTGTCGTTTATCGCAGCTGATCGAAAGTGAAATTCTCGAGATCCTGATGGTTTTCTCTAAAGACAATGATCCTGACATGTCAATGGTTAAAGCGTGCGCTGAAAGAGCACTGGAGACTGCTGTGGAACTGAATCTTATTAAAGAAAATGACGATCAAGATGCCAGTTGATGACAGCGAAAAGGTGTTCATTTAGCGTAGCTAGGAGAATTTTATAACCTCAAAGTGATACAGTCATTCTAAACTAATTTCACTTATGAACTGATACGATCGAGAAACAAAAAGCTGTATTGAAGCTATCCCACAAGCCTTTGGTCCCTTTCGAAGCGTTCTTTTTTGGTTTACCCTGACTAAGCCCTAGTCGATTTTGTTCATGCTATAAAAGCGATATTTGTGCAATTTGAGGTCCTGAGATTACCTTTAAATGCACGACAAAGTCATTTATACGGATTTTTTTAAGAAAAACCAAATTGTTACAAAAGTAAACGTTTTAGCTATAAAGGTAAATTGTTTTTTATGCTTTGTAATGAAATTTTTGGTAAAAAGGCAAACAAACAAACAAAACACAAAAAAATGAAAAACACGTCATGTTTTTTGTCATGTATGAATATGAAAATCATTGTATGTTATATTTTGGAAGAGTCGCTTGACAATTTGACTTCAACATTTCCGAAAAAGGAATTTTCAAAACCGTTCGCCCTTCACCAAATGTACCAAAATCGTTTAGAATGTCGTCAATAGTTACACATTTCAAAGATGTATCACGTATTCTGTAAATGGGTTGTTCCCATTAAGCAGAACCCGACCATGGAGTGTTAATCCTACTGAGACTACCACGACGTATTTTTAGTATATTTTATAACATCTGAAGTTGTTTTGTGAATAAAATGGGTGTGGTTTATACACGGATTACTCAGTTTTTGTCCGCTGACGTTTGTTAGTCTTCAGGTTGTTGACATCGTGTTTCAATTATTGCTAAGTTTTGTGAGGAACCTTGAGTAGTCATGTAGCCCCATCTTATATTTAACAAATATTCACCGAAGAATAGGGGAATAGTTGTCTTAATATGTACCAAACAAAAACCAAATTAGTTTTCTTTTTCTGTCAATATATAAAAGAATGGTCGGAAATTAAATTGTTGACACGCGATTTCATTTCTTCGGCCGCTCGGAGGTGAGTGGCACTTGCTGATCACTTCCAAAGTAGCCAATCAGTGCGCAAGAAAGGCACTATTTTTTTTTCTGTTCCATTGAAATACGTGCAATCTTTTGGGGAGTGGTATACTTCATATCTCAGTTTATTTGTGTCTTGACGTACCCCCTCATCAGCGTTTTACAAAGACTTACGAACTCAGACCCTTATCCCTAGGAACTACTATACATATTGCGCAGTAGGACGTAGCGTGGCGAGGTGTGATGAGGGGGTGATAACTTCATCAGGCAAACGAGGATGGAATGGTACGAGCAGGGGGTTTTGCAGCCTGTTTATCAGTATTTGATGTTGGCTTAGATTTCTCTCTAGGTGAAGTATAGTCGTTTGTCTCACGATGAAGTCCCTTCAGATGTGGATCACGATGTTTAGACTGCATACTGCGAGTCTCAGGACAGGCGATAAAGTGGACTAATATTTATAGTTTCATACGACACCCCTAAAAATAATAATAATAAAAAAAGCCATCGTCTGTTTTCCTTTACCCAAAGGAATCGAAATCTTCATATTCCAATTCGGAAATCTTGAACCAATTGAGTACAGCATGACGTCATAAGCCAGATCGGAAATTTTTAACGAGAGAAGACGCATTTTTAAATTCGTCTGTTTATTTCAATGGCAGTATATGAGTTCATTTCCTTTTATTGTTGTTTAAATTGGCATCAGCGTCTCGTCTTAGGATAGGAGAAGAATCCAATAATTTGACTTCCGGTTCGACTGTGGCATTACGCTTTTGAATCCCACAATCCTCCGGTGTCTGTGGGTATGCTTCGGGCCAATACATGAAAGTTGTCCAAACATTCATGTGGGTGAATAGTTCTCGCTGAGAAAAAATAAATGAATAGAAAAAAGATAAGGAAATAAAGTCGTTATGGTAAATCGGGGAGTCAGAAGAAGGGTCATACCAAGACCTTCCACTGTCAAGCGTGGTAACATTTCAGTCATACAATAAGATCTGGGCACAAGATTAGTTCGGAGGATTTTGATGATGCCACAATATCATTTACCTGACTCCCCCCCTAAGGCTCTGTTATTCTGATAATCCCCCACTCGTTGAGTGTCACTTTTCTTTATACTTTGCTGGTCCCCATCCATTATTCCCTGAAAACCATGATCCCCCTTAAGTCCTCTGACCCCCTTAGGAGATGAAAAACGATTGCATTGGTGCCTTAATCACCGTTACTAGCCCCTTCCCCCTTAAATGATCAAATTTGACATCCCCCTCTCACTAGTACCAAACCCTTTATTCCTTCCCTTTTCACCAGGCCCCACCTTTCAGAGGGTGGATAACGCCATTTAGTGGAGAATTTTATAAAAGAAATAGAACGTTCTCGGCCATCTATGGGATAGCTATGTCTAGCCATCGAACGACTGAAGCCAGTTGGGCAAACTTACATTCAGATTTTTGCAGTTTTTGTAAGTTATTTGTGCACTGCAGTCCAATGTTGGATCAATTGGTATGGAAAGGCGGTATGTTCCAAATACACTTCGACATTCTTCTTCTCCCGCCAAAGCGTCATCACAAGGTGCGGCTATGAGCGGATGACAGCACATCCCTGTCAGGCGCCTGTCGTCTTTTGTCATACAGTAAAAACCGCCGTCTAGGGTTAAAAAAGTTCAACTGTTGAATTTTTCCATTTGAAATTAAGACAACGCATGCGTGGTTGCTCTTAATAAGAGCTCACCATTTTTCCCACAAACACCAGCTCGCGCTAGGGTAGATTCGTTTCCTAGCAGATAATGCTGAGATGGTAAGGCCTATTAAAATCAGTACGCTTTGCATGTCCGTTTGGCTTCAAAGTAATTCCCCTGATTAGGAATCCAATATTTGATTCGACAAAAGATAATTTCCCAAATCGACTTTGATAAAGCGTGGTCTATACTCTTATCGACAACGATATTCGTTATCACAGTGATCAAAATGTTGTGGACTCACGAGGCGCAGCAGCTGTGGATTTTTTTTACCTCAGTATCGAAGGCAATTGAAACGATTCTTTCAGTGCAAGTCATCCATGTTTAAGGTCTGATAAAGGCATTGCGTGACACGCTGACGCAAGCAGCGTTGTCTGTACTCTTATCGATAACGGCAAATTGGCCAATCAGATTGCGACATTACCGCAAATTGAGATAATTTTTTTCCCCCTGAGAATTAGGGGTGAGGAGAAACTCGCAATTCATCAAATTGTGTCAAATGATCAAGAACTTGTCATTTTTAGCATCCTTAGGAAAGCAAGTTCATTTCATCACGTTGTTGTTTCACAGATCGATGGCCATATATCATTTTTATTTTTATAATTTCCTTTTTTTCATTTCCGTTGAAATACTCAAGTGAATAAGTGAACAAGGAAATTGTAAAAACTAACAGTTTGGAAGGTTTATTTAAATATTTAAAACATATTCAGCCATTTACCCTTCCCTTGTTCTTTTTCCTGTCTGCACTTGTCCTCATTAGTTATCCTGAAACGATCGAAGTTTAAGTATCGCCAAGAGGCCATTGGCTGATGGAAGTCTTTGATCTCATCGCCAATCCTAAAGTAAGACCTTCCCAGTGGTCTCAGCTTTAGATGAACTTTATCTGGGACGCTCTGATCTTGGACTGCACCGTATAGCTCCACATACATCTTTTAAAGATAACAAAATATTTACACTATGATTAAAGTTTTTTAAAATCATCTTTCTGAGAATCCTTCCCTTTGATGCATTGTTGTTTAAATTCCTATTTGCTCGTGGTTGTTTTGTCTGATCTGGTCGGTAAATAGGAGTATCACAACAGATTGGACTTGACGATGGCTTTATTCTGCCTATCCAACTCGTGGTCCTCAACAACAACTCTAGTCAGGTGTTACATGCCCCACTGAGGGGGAGTCTGGGTCCTAATACACTACAGTGGGGAAAGCCAAAACTTCACCCCAGTAACTTTTTTATATTTACTTTCCATCAATAGAATACTACTACTACCTTTCTATCCAGATATGGCAATCTTATCGGTTACGCTACGCGCAGTCTATTCTGTTCTATACGATGGGCTTAGTTATACACCTATTTTGATTGGTTTCTTACATATAATCTATTGGAGGACAGGTGTGACTGATATTTATCATTATTCAATAAAAGCACGATCATTAGTTCTCGATATCCATGGATGATAATTGATTCGAACTAAGCCCTCTTCTATTTTCACGCAATGAAATCTTAAGCACAAAATGCGACTGTTAAATGAGGTCTTCAGGGACAAAATTCAGAAATAACATCGAAATTTATAAGGCGAAAAAAGTTAGATTAAAAAAACTTAGATTTAAACGCTTTAAGTTCTTTTGAAGGAAAGTGAGGCTTGTGTAAGATAAATCCTATTTAGCCTTCCATCAGTAATGATCTTGGAATGTTTTGCAAAACCTTCAACATAGGACGGTAAATGACAACGTCGATGCAAGTAACTAAACGGTATTATCAACTAACTTAAAATGACCACTGTAAAGGGGTTTCGAAACTGACGTTTCGTGCGTTAGCTTTTCGTCAGAGCAAATGACGAACGGCTAGCGCTCGAAACGTCAGCTTTGAAACTCTTTATGGTGGTCAATTCACGTTATCAACGCAGTTGACAAGACCAAAGTAACCTGTCGATGCAAGTAGTTGTATTCAAATCTGTTAAGTTTACAACATTACTTAAACAGCTCTGTATCAACCTGTATGTACCTTCAAGAGGCGCACATTGTAGCAATCTTTACAGGCCTGATTAATGTCCAAGGAAAACGTCGTGTAACTCTTGTATAACTCCTTGAACATCTAAATAAATGAGGCGAGAGGATCAAGCACAACAATTCGGCGTTGTTAGTAAGTAGTGCTACAAAATATCATTGTGGCGATGTTTATTAAAATTGTTTATTAAAATTGTTTATTAAATGTTTATTTATCAATGGAGAATTTTTGTGGAAATCATATAGTTTTCAGGGGAAACAGAGGAGGGATCAGTCGTCGCCAACAGTGTGTAAGGGGAAGGGGGGACTTCGAAATAGCTGCCAAGGATGAGGGAAAATAAGAATAATATAGATTTAGCCAAGCCTAAAATCGGAGCTCGCATTTTTTTTTCTCGCACGTCTCAAGGGCACAACGCCTTGCCCCGGCCAGGACTAGAACTCGG